ACGCGGACGAAGTTCGTGAACCCGCCACCAGGTCAGCGAGTGCCCTAGTGTCGGGTGCGAGAACTTCGTCCGCGTGAGCCAATGAGCGCCAGGGAGGAAACAGTTCAGGAAGCATTATTGTTCTTCTTTGGATCCGGTTTAAACTGGGTGAAATACCCTATACAGACGGCGGAGTCTCGGCAAAGCAGCCAACAGGTTGACCGTCGCCGTCCCATCAAATTTGACGCCTTCTGACATGATGCAAACATCCTCCAGGGTATCCGCGTGCCCAGCAAGGATGGTGTTTATGAAGGACGCCGAGTTCTCCGTAAGTGGTGGACACCGGAACGTCGTGAGAGACGGCCTTGGCGGCCCCTGTACAACGGGATGAGTGACTTCGGGTAGTTTGCCAATGACTTTAATCGACTCGAGGCCGGAACACGACGCGACCGTCCTCACGAGCACGTCGGCTTTAGCCCTTTCGAAGACTCTGCAGATTAGATGGAAGAGCTCAAGTCTTCTGAGGCGCCCGAACGATGCCTGCTTGTTGACTATGAAGGCATACTTCTTGGGCTTAAAGTATCCACTATTGCCACGCAGTTCCAAACTTGCCACGGCGCATCTGGTCGAGGTCGCCGCCAGCGTCGGGACTCGGCCCGTGACGATCAGCGTGTCGAGACACGGTGCCAGGTGCAGCACCGCGCCCGCGCTAGGGTGGTCGTCGGCGAGCGATCTGTAGCTCCAAACGTCCCTGTGCACGGCCAGGCCGCAGAGCCTCTTGCACACGAGGCGGCAGGCGAGGACGTCCTCTACGTCGTTCAGAAACTGCATCACCGTCACGAGCACATCGTCCGGGAGCTGCTCCAGGGTGACCTGAGACGTTGCCATCGGAGCCCACGAGAGAGGTAGAGTGCGTTCTAGAAACAACGACGGGACCTTACGTTAGTGCAAAACTAAACCACACGAAACAATGAAGGCCTTGCCCAGAGTGGCAGAGCGTAGTGGGGCGCAGTGGTGGGGGTAACCAAAACAAATATCTTTTTGCTGGAGTTTCAGCAAGTTTTTGATCGGAAAATAAAGCACTCCACGTGATTTTGAACTTGAGACGTCGATCAAATCAAGTTTTGGCTCCTTTTAGATAGCTTTTTGCTTTGTTTTGGTCCCCCCCCCACCACTGCGCTCCGCCACTTTGGGCATGGCCTTCATATAGGCGGACTAGCCTAAGGTCACACTTTTCCTCTCCCCCTCTCGCCTGCGATCTCCTATGTTGCCCGTGCTTCAAAAAGTGGGACCTTAGGCTAGACTCACTATATGCGCCTGCATTGTCGACCTTTCCTACCTTGGTGTTACACCCTTCAAGCTTGCTCCAGTTGAAAGTGAAGGTCAGATGTGTTGATGAGCTGACCCAGCGGCTCGCGCGTGACCTGGAGCCTGAAGCTGACCTGACTGGACCTGACTACACCCGGACCGGAGACACACTCTATCATGCTTCTGTGATGTGATGTAGTGTATTGACACTACGAGATATTGTCTGTGAATAAGCCGTATCGAGTATCTGAAAATAGTCTGACCCCCTTTATAACCCTTGTAATGAACCAATAAAACACTCTTGAATACTCTTGAACTCTTGACTTCCAGTCCTTCATATCAGTTGTACCTCAGTCCGTTAGTAGCACTCGTAAACAGCTGCGTCCAGATACGTGGGTGCATTGGGTACCTCAGGCACCCAAGGCACCCAATGCACCTACGTATCTGGACGCAGCTAACGTTCGTCTTTCGTATGTTCCCCGCCACCTCGGAACATGACAGATGTGATTCACCGCCAGGGCGCGCTACGCCGCACCCGCGCACGGCGGCAGGAGGAAGGCCGGGTGGAAGGGGACTGCCCGGATTGTTCGTCCTCCGGGTGCCAATCTCGGATACAGATACAGTCCCCGAAATTTTCGTAGTTTCGAAAATGTAAACGAAATACTAAAACTTTGGAGGTCATACGAGCAGATCGGAACCGGAAGTCGAACAATCCGGGGAGCTCTCCGATCACCCTCCAGTCACAAAGACTGTGTCGCACGTTATCCGTCCTTGTCGCACTCATGAGCTTTGTAGACTGGTCGAGGGAACTGTCGCCTTTACGGCCTGGCCGATTTTTACAGTCCCCAAGCCCGTTCAAATAAACGCGTGCCATTATCGCCCGTGACTCCAATTACACGATAATTGATCTATATTTCGGAGCACCAACGCTGATAAGCGAGTCCTCTCGTTCCCTCTCTCTCTCTCCCCTCGGCACCCAACCTCTCCTCGCGCTCTCTCGGCGCACGCGACGCGGCCAGCGTTGAGTCCTCTCTCTCTCTCTCTCTCTCTCTCTCTCTCTCTCTCTCTCTATATATATAGGGCCCAGTGCCGCCGCCAGCGAGCGCTAGTCGTAGAGGCAGAGGCGGGCAATGGCCACTCGTTTCGGTTGTCAGCGGCCGGGGCCGGGCAGTGACGGACCGTCCGGACGAGCGAGCGAGCGAGCACCCGACCACAACATGTCCACGGCAGGGAAGGTGAGAGTGAGGTTGTGGTTGGTATGGGCGGCACTTTTGTCCGAAACGACAAAGATGTTTCGCTGTGTGTCATTGCAATACTCAAGTTTGCATTCGCCGATGGCACACAGTACAGAGTCTGTTATACCCAACAACAAAAACAACACTTTCTTCCATTTATTTAACACGTTGGAAACAGGTGCCTGGGGCAGCTCGCCACGGGCCACGGACAGAAAAAAAGAAAAGAAAAGAAAACGATCAAACGCCTACCGATCGTTTGACCGACCGATCGAAACTTGCATTTGAAACCGAATCTGTACATCTTTTTTTATTTCCAGCCAATCACGTGCCGCGCTGCGGTCTGCTGGGAGCCGAACCAGCCGCTGTCCATCGAGGAGGTCGTGGTGGAGCCGCCGCAGAAGGGAGAGGTGAGTCGGGTGGTTCACGGCGGGAGCGGGCTCGAGCTGCACGGCGACAACCTCGTCAGTCGTGGCCTAGTAATGCCACATTGGTGGCAATGGCACGGCCGCGGCGAGATAACCACCCGGTCACTGTACCTTCTGCCGGGGAAGATTATCTCTGTTTGCTCTCTTTTATCCTGGCCGCCAGATGACAGATTACTCGCAAATTAGAACGCCTCTGTTTACACACACCTTTAATTACTATTTCTCTGGATGCGAGCACATGTGTGACCCCGTGACCTTCCACGTTTACAGGTTCGAGTGAAACTCTTGTCCGCGTCCATCTGCCAGACGGACTTCTGCTGCCTCAAGGGCTACACCATCAAGGGATTCTACGCCGGCGGCTGGCCCGTCATCCCCGGCCACGAAGGGGTGGGCGTCGTCGAGAGTGTGGGGCCCGAGGTGACTTCCGTTCAGCCAGGTACCAAACAACTGCCGGGATTAAAAGAAACCACTTGAGTAAGGGCCCATAACTTTGACGTGACGCACTAAAAAAATATTTATTTCCGGGCACTAAACATTCGTCTAAAGCGCACGACTTTTTTCCCCGCTCAAAATGAGATATTGCCCTTCCACTGAGTTATAGTGCTGTGCACTATTTTTTGTGTGCTTGGGATGCTGCGTTCAGTTCCCAGCGCTCGACATAATAGTGCAACGAGAAAGCTTTTGTATATAGAGAATTATGTATTCGTTTCTTAGTGCGAATAATTAAAGCTAGTGATATAACATAGGGGAACACAGTTAACAATGATGTGTTAAATTTATGGATACTTCAGCGCAAAGAAAGCTCGTTTTACGCGTTTATAGAAGAATAACTTATTTACACGTGTCTTTTAGGTGACCATGTGATTCCATCTTTCGGCGCGCAGTGCAACAAGTGTACGCTCTGCCAGTCGAGTCGGACCAACATGTGCCTGCTAACAAACGTACGGGACAGGGGACACGGAATACGACGGTATTCACAGCTCCAGCGCTGCACCTCTTCAATGATTCATGCCTGTCTGCTCCCCAGGACCGCGCCGTGCTCCCGGAGGGGACGACCCGCGTCAAAGCCAAGGGCCGGATGCTGCACCAGCTGGCGAGCCTGGGGACCTTCGCCGAGTACAGCGTCATGGCGGAGACGTCGCTCGCCAGGGTGAACAAGTCCGTGCCCACGGCCTCGCTGTCCGTGATGGGGTGCTGCGTGCCCACGGGCATGGGCACGGCGCTCA